TTGTTAGGGATGCCAAACTTCCTTGGAGATATAATACTGTACATTTCTATATTACTTAACAGTTTTCAAAATGTAGTCAAATATATTTGTGTGTCCAAAATAAGTTATTTTATAGTCTTCTTCACATGAAATCATATTTCATAGTTTAATGTTGAATTTCAAATATTAAAAATGAGGATGTTTAAAAATATGAGAAAAATTGACCATAAAGAAATAATAATAAACATGTAGTGCAATGGTATAAGCTCTTTGTAGCGGCCTTTGTGGACTATGCTGCAATGGTCTGATTTAGTCTCTAAACTTCTCCGTCTCCAAAGTTTCAATGTAGAGTCTATCAACCTCATCAGGGATGTTATTAAAATATATTAAACATACCTGATTCTATGGACCAATTAGGCAGTTTTATAATAATCTGATGGAGGAGTTTAGGGTGGAAATATGTGAGTACATGTTTTTTGGCATTGCCTGTAGGTTAAGGCTCTGCAAGAAGAATCTGAAGACCCAGTGATTATGGGGAGTGGTGTTTGTGCGAGTGTGTGAGAGTGTGTATGTATGAGAGAGAATGAGAGAGAAAGTGTGGGTGAGTGTGAAAGGGTATGTGTTTGTGCAGGTGCCCAGGTATAGTTGGACACTGGGGAAATGTACCCATGTGGAGGGAGTCTTTGCTGAAAATATTTGTAGATGGGATGAAAATTTATTTTTGTTGGGAGTATGAAATTAATAAATCCTATAATGCCACATTAACAAGATGCATTGGGGATGTTTGAATGCATATGAGACTTATTTCCTGACATCAAGAAGCTTAATCTCATCAGTGGGACAAAAAATCTACAGATGAAACAAATAGTGAACAAAAAATTCTAATATATAACCTTTTAAATTGAGAGAGACAGAGAGAGAGAGAAAGACAGAGAATATAGTGGAGATGTAGAGGAGAACATGATGTACTAATAATTACTAACTAAAATTCCAAGAAGAGAAACATTAATGTGGGCTAGAAACATTCAGTAAATATATTGGCAAGTGAGTACTTAAATTGGTTTATCAAAGCTTTAGATTGTGTGTGAGTACATGTTTAGGTGTATATATGTGTGTATATTTGGGGGAAGGAAATCATAATGAAAGAATGAACTTTCTCAACTAGGAAGAAAAAATACGCTCAAACCATCATAGGGCAGTCACTCATTCAACAAAACAAATTATTGGAAATCCACCAGCTCTGTGCCAGGTTGAGGATACAAAGCATACATTTTCCTTTTTGTTATCACTTATTTACAAAAAGGATAAGTATATTCATGTTTCAAAGTATGGTTTTCAAATCCTAAGGCAACCACACTCGAATCCCAGCGAACAGACAAAGCTTGTCAGAAACCCCTACTTAGCTTCTTTTCCTTAAAGATAACAAAGAACCAAACCTATAAACCCCTAAACTCCAGCTCCAACATATTTTAAAAGTGTATGTGTTTTTATTTTATTTTTTAAAATTAGATTAATTATCATCTTAGGTCTTGGTGAATTCTATAATTACTATAATTTCAGAAGTCAAAAGCTGGGAGGGCACACAGTTAGAAACACAGGGTTATGCAAAATTAGGTACTTAGCAACCTGATAAGCCCTATCATGCTTTTATCATTCTAGTCGAGGCATCCCCTGCTCTAGGTGTCCTTCCCTGACCCTCCCTGGGCTCTTCAGGTACCACTGATTCCAAGACATCTTTCATACCCTCCTGTGATTCTACTTATTACATGGTTGATATGTCAGTCTTCCCCACCAGACTGCGAATTTATTTTTTTGACAGTTGTAACTAATACCACAATTAGTGCCCAATGGGTTCCCTTAAAACTTTGCTGCCTATTGTTAAATAATTTGGAGCCTCTGGTCAGAAATTGTAGGAAACCCTGTAGGTATAAGGCATGGGGACCAACTTTTGCAGCTGTGGTTTTTGAAGAAGGAAATTCAACAGACTCCTAAACCTTAGGGTGTGAAAACGAAGTTTTTAAAAAGTATATATTTTATTCTTTCATTCAGTAAATATATCACATAGGTGGAAAGAGGGAAAATATGGCAGCCTGTACCAACAGAATGGAGGGTTTTATTCTTGGAATATAAAGTATAACTGAACTGAATGTCACTTGAAATTTTGTCTTTGGGTAGATGCGGTGGAGATTGTAAAAAGAGAGACAGAAAGAGAGAGCCTGCACGCCACTGACCACTATCTAAAGTCTAAGTGGATTTCTTTGGAAACGAAGTCCAGGAGTACAGGAGTATTCATGCTCACAGCAAGAAACAGATTCCAAGAGTTAAGATAGGAGCTTTGAACCCTGCTGTGAAGGCGACTCTTTCCAAATCAAAAGGTGTGAAAGGGCTGTAGTTCTGTTCTTCTGGCTTCTGGCACTGATCAAAGTCTTTATTTGCTTCTGCTCCTTCAAAGAGCAAGCTAGGAATGGCAGATTAGTGCCCTAACCCTCACATTCTCAACTCATCCCATTCCAAATTCAGAGAACCAGGATTTTCCTACACCCTCAGGATGCAAAGCTGAACACACATGTGTTTTCCTTCAATACAATACAATCTTACTTATCTGGTTGTCAATGATTTATAATTGGCCATCAAATGAATACTTAATTGTGATTCTCATTGGACAGTGCTCTCAAAAACATATCTCTATTTTTTGTTTGAGCAAAACTTGTTATGTTTAAACAAAAGCAGAATAGAAACAAACCCACAGGAAGAGGGCAAAACAGAAAGATCATCCTATTTCATTGCCTGACCAATTTAACTCTTGGGAAATCTACTGTCATGTGACCTGTTTTAGGCTTTTCTCTGACTCTAGAGTCTCTTTCATTAATGTTTAAACTCCTTTCCCAGCCCACTTCTTCCCTCTTTTTCTTTGCAACAGGTAAGCCCTCAAGTGTTCCCATTCTTCCCTTATGTAGGTAGGTAACAGTGGAGGAAGATGGTCGATGTGTCTGTAGCAAAGGATAAGGAAGGGAAGTTGAAGAGGTCAGAGAATAGAAGTAAGGGGCAGATCATGTGTCACCTCATTTGCCACAGTAAAGACTTTGGGTTTTACTCTGATAAAAATGAGGTGTCTCATTCACAGCATCATGAGTAGGGGTGTGACATGATCTGATTTATGCTGCAAAAGGAACACCTGGGTTGCTATGTGGAAAATAGTCGAGCCGGGAAAGGACAAGGATAGGAGACCTGCAGATGGTCATCCAGGTGGCAGTTATTGAGAGTAAAACAGGTGGTGGTGGAGGTGATGAGATGTGGTTGGAGTCTGCTTGTATTTTGCAGGTAGAGCAAGGATGCCAGAAGGATGGAGTTGTTACTGGCCAAGAAATGGAAACCTGAAAACATAGTAATTTTGAAGTTTCAAAGATCCTTGCCAGTAATGCTACCAGAATACAGGTAAAAAAAAGAGAAAGCTTTGTTTTTTTGTTGCAGCTTGAAAAGCATATGAATGAGATTCTCTCTGCCTACTGGAAATTAGAAGAGATTTTATTTCTCATAAGCATTAAGTTGGTCATGATTAAAGGGCCATGAGAAACAGAAACATGGGGTGGAGGCTAAGGAAGAGATTAATTAATAGTTCTCACATTCAGGAAACAGTGGTTCTCAAATTTGTGTGCACATCAGACCCCTGGGAAGGATTTGTTAAAATATAACTTTCTGGCCCTGTCCCCAGAATTTCTGATTCAGTAGATCGAGGTAATGCCAAGAACATGGATTTCTAGTTTCCAGGTTATGTTGACACTGGTTGAAACCACACTTAGAGAACCATGGGCCAAAGAGCAAGTAAATCTGAGACAAGTACATTTTGTGGTTTAGATTTCATAAAGAAAAGAAGCAGTTTAAACCTAAACCTTGCCACTCTTTTTTTTGTTTGTTTAATAGGAATCTCTTAACCCTTCAAAGGAGTCATGCCAGTAACTTAGTTTTGGACAGGCAGTTCAATCTTTTAGTCTGGAGTTTGAGAGAGAGTCTAGACTTGAGATATTAATTGAGAGTTGTTGGCATATAGATAGAATTTATAATCATGAAAAATGAGAAACAGATGTTCAAAATGGTTAATAATATGGAAATAGAAAGGTGAAATAAAGATTGAGGGCTAAGAAAGAGTGATATTTATGTCATCCTTGATTGATAAATGTATTTAATAGCTATTCTTTTGTTATAATGGAATTATAGAGGCTCAAAGCAGGAAGTTTTCTTCTTTATTTTCCCTCCTCCCCAGTATAAGGCATCTGAGACTCTGAACAACATGACCATTGTTCCACCACTGGTGTGGCACATCCCCAGGTTCCACACTTGCAGATTAACTAACTGCATATTGGAAATATTCGGAAACCAAACAATAAAAAATAATACAAATTAAAAATTAGTGTATAACAACTATTTACATACCATCTACCTTATATTAGGTATAAATAATCTAGAAATGACTTAAAGTATATGGAAGGATGTGCTTAGGTTATATGCAAATACTACACCAATTTGTATCAGGGACTTGAGTATCCTTGGATTCTGGTATTCAAAGAGGTCCTGGAATCAATCCCCTGCGAATAACAAGGGATGACCGTAGATTTTCCAAAGACAGATGGGATATCTCCCATCCTAACGGCTATTCTGAAATGTAACTTCAACACCTTTCCAATTGAGAGGTGGGATTTTTGTTTCCCCCCTTAAATTTGGGCAACCTTGTGACTTGGTTGTAACCAGCGAAAGGCAGTGGAGGCAATACTTAGGACTTTCAAAGCTAGGTCAGGAAAAGTGTTGCAATTTTAACTTTATTTGGTGAAACAATCCTGCTAAAACCCTGAGCCTCAATGTTGAAGTCTGACTTTTGAGAGGCTGCCATAAGGAAACTGCAACCAGCCCACATAAAAAGACCACATGGAGAAACTCTGAGACTACATTATGAGAGCAAGAGATGCCTGGCTAGCACCTAGATACACTAGCTATTTGCTCTCCAGCCTCAGCAATCATATCACAGCCAAGATACAGGAGACACCAAGCCTTGTCCAGTCAAACCTTTTCTGAATTCCTAACGTACAGAAATTTTAAGAAATAATAGAGTGTTGTGTTAAGCTGCTGAATTTTGAAATAGTCATTTCTAAATTGTTTAATTTTTCAAAACTGCTTGATCATCAAATCTGTTTTTGGTGGGGCTAAGGATGACTCAACACTTGTTAAAATGACTTGAAACTTACATTTTACCAAAAACAAAAAACCCTTTAAAAATATCACCTTGAATTCACCAACTGAATTTTGGCTGGCAATTTGGTTTCCTAAAGAGATCTTTCTGTAAGAGAGAGGATTGTATATTAATATATGTATATATTTATAACTCAGTACAAGTGTGTAAATTAGGATTCTGATTTATCTATCATACTTGAGTTTGGTTAGCATGAGTTAGTCCCTAGAGCTTACACACTGGAGGCAAAAATATCAAGTACTTAATACGCAAGGCTGACCTCTGTACCTTGAATGTATGGCGATTCTTCTATGGAATTAAGCAGAACTTCTACTGATATGTTCTGATGAGGCACACCTAATTTATTTATAAGACTTTATATGACTTATGTATATGACTTTTTTTCTCAGACAAGTTTTCTACTCAAAAAAAAATCAAACTCTTTCAGGAATTATAAGATATTTTGCCATTTCATACTTACCAGACACTGAATTAGGAAGTTCAAAATTTCAAGAGGACTTTTCATGAGAGTCTTCCTTGGATTTGGTGCACAGACAATGCTGTTTGGAACCTAGGGAGCCAAAAGTCAAGGAATGGATCCTTAACTTACTTCTATATTGAGCTTTATATGTCACTTGCTATCACAGGGGTGATAGGCTTTGGGGACCTCTGACTCAAAAGCCCCTTGGACTCTGATAATTGGATCTTCTATAATTAACTCCATCAAAGTATCAATGCATATTCTTTCTCAAAAGTAACCTAAGAGACAAGGTTGTAGCAAAATGTCCTCTATTCAAATAAAAGTCTAATGATAAGAACAGATGCAGAGGAAGAAGTCTGTCTTCTCATTCCAGGGTCACTCATCCATATATATACCTTTATTTAACATAACATCTTGACTAAAATCTCTCATGGGTATTTCCGACATCAACATGTTCAAAATTTAAAACATGGGAGAATCTCTTAAATCTCATCCTCCTCCAATGTTCCATATCTCAATGACTACAGAACTATCATCCATACAGTAGAAAATATTTTCCTTTATTCTCATATTTTATCTAATACCATTCCCAGTCTAGTTGATCTACTTAACATTCTGAATCTGTTGAATTCTTTCCCTTTCCATGGTCACCATTGAGTACTGATTACCATTAACTCATACTTGAACTATTGCACTGACTAGGATTCTGTGTCTCGGGCAACAGAAATGAACTCTGAGTGATTCACATGAAGAACAATTTAAGAATATTGGGTAGGTTACTGATGATTGTAGAATACTGGTGAAATGGATAATATATTATCAGAATATTATAATATCAGAAACTATGGGATATAAGACTGCAGATAACAAAACCGAGGTCATTTCCTTCAGAGTCACAGTTCTGTTTGGAGGCATTTGATTGGTCAAAACTAAGAGCTACGACCATCTCGCAGCTATCAGGGAATGGACATATCTGACTCACTTTGACTTTAGATTCACATAATGGGGATCTCCTCCAAATTAGAAAATAGATATTGATCTTGGGCTGACAAAAGCTATATTATTCTCATAATTGTCAACTTAGTCTCTATGGTAGGTTAAAGGTGACCTCCAATTTTTTGCTTCTTCTCTCATAGAAAGGTGTAGTCTAAGCCTCCTCCCCATGAGCATAGGCTGGCTTCTTTGAGTGCTTTAGTCCATGCTGTGCCAATTGCCAGGTTCAAGCCTCAAAAAACCAGTAGCAGTTGCTTCTCGTTGTTCAGAGCATTTGCTCTTAGAACAAGACTAGTATGCTGTTAGAAGCCCAAACTATGTGGAAAGCATTAGAGATAAAATGTCTTGTAGAGAGGGATGGAAAGATTAATAGATTGATTGATAGATAAAACACCAAGGCAGTAGATACATGATATCTTGCAAGCAGATCTTCCAGCTCCAGTTCCTCAGCCAACACCACATGAATCAGAGAACTGCCTAGCTGAGCAGACTCCTTGCATCACTCTTCCCTGAGTTTCTTATATTTTCTATATTGTAGCCAGAGTTTTTAAAAAACATATTTTATCATATTATTACCTTGCTTAGCACTTTTTAATGCCCTTAGTATAAAAATCAGGATCATCAACATTATCTTCAAAGTCCTGAATGATGTATTCCAGCTGTGTCTCATCTCTTGTCACTATCTGCCTCATTCTCTGAACTACAGTGGCTGTTTTAAGTTCTTCCAAAATGCCACACTTTTTTTCTGTCTCAGAATCTTCATATATGCTGTCCCTCTCCCAGAAGCCCTTCCTGCATCCACTGGGCTTTTCCCTACCTAACTCTCACTCATTTTCTCAGATCTTAGTTCAAACATCAGTTTCTCGAGAAAATCTTCCCTTATTCCCCAGGCTAGATCTGTCTCTCATAGCCCTATACTTCTCCAACAGAGCAATCATATCTTAATTAAATAATTCATTATGAGCGAGTTTTATCATTTGTCTTTCTTTGCTAGAAATGTAAGCTTTATAAGATCAAAGACTGCAAATCTTGTTTTTCCACTATATTCTTACTGCTTTGCACCATTCTTTGCACATAGTAGACATGCAATAAATGTGCTGCTCAAAGTTAGAAGGTGAAGATGAATCATCTGGCAGTCTCTTTTTAAAATGTAGATTTTTGACTCAGTAGGTCCGGGGTAGAGTTTGAGAATAATCTCTATTTCTAACAAGCTCCTAGGTGATGCTATTGCTGTTGATTCTGTGGACCACTCTGCATAGCAAGGCTATATAAGAATCATAATTAAGTCCTGTGGGTAACATGGAGCAACAAATTGGGATTATTTAATATTTTAAACCTGTGCTATCATTTTAATTTGATTCAATTAATTTCAACAAACAATTATTGAGCCAACTATTTCCCAGGATAGGTTAAACATGAATAAGATATGGTCAGTGCACTCAAAGAGCTTAGAGCATAATGGGCATAACTAAAATATAAACAAATCAATGTGGAAAATGTCTTATAATAAAGGTAGACCATAAGGATATATTAGGCACAAAAGAAGAAGTTATCAACTGAACATGGGGAGCTCAGGAGATTTGAAACACACTACTGATTGACCACAACTATAAGCTACTGTTTTGTTTTGTTTTCTTATTCTATATATGTTTACCTGAATGGAGTTATTAGAGAATTAATAACTGGCCTGACTTCAACATTCCATTTTCAGAATGAAATATGCAACTTTTTAGTCCCCTTGTGTACTATGGAAAACATGTTTGTTTGTTTGTTTTTTCTTGTTTCTGATGCCTGTTTATCTCTTTCATTTTCTGGATCAAGTTGCTGTACAATCTGTCATTTCTATCTTCATATTGGTAAATCCTTTCCAGTCTTTCTCGTTAGACTTGAATTAGAAAACAAATGTGCTGCTAGAAAAAGCAGTAAGAGAATGATGAAGATGGGCAGGGGCTGGGGTACAGTCCTTGATTCAGTAGTTTGGTCTTTGAAGGAGAAATAATTCCTTTTTTTCTTGCTTAGATGTTTACCTGGTGAGATGGACCGTTTTTATTAGACCATTTTTATTATTCCTCATTCACAAGTTGGGGTATAGAACCTCGTTTCAATCTTGGTACCCACCCTTAGCTTTCATGCACTAACAATCTCCTGGGCTTCATTAGGGAATAGTTATCATTCTTTTAAGTTCTTTTTTCAGCATACAACTTTCTTTAACCACATCTAAAACATAATTTCTCCTGAGAGGAAGCTAATTAACTACACCCTTCTGGTTATTATTTAATCATTATTTTTGGAGTATCCAAAATGTGCTAAGTATCAGCCATTTCTAGCACCAAATCATTATTCAGAGTTCAGTCATTTCTTAATTTGGGTCCTTGAAACCACTTTCCTTATCCCATTTATTAATATTTATTAGGATCCACAGAGGGCAAGGCATTCACCTTTTTAGAGACTATAGGAAAGCCATAGTTGAGAGCTCTCCATGTTTTGCCTCATCTCACTCTTCCAGTCAAGCCAGCTTGTTACTTCAAAATAATATCTTTGACCAAATTCTATAAGAAACACTTCCCTCTCCTATCATATGCATTCACTAGATTTTCATTGCTCATGAATGAAATTTAAATTCATTTCTGTTTCAAATATTTATTTAATTTTTTTCTTGCTCTTTCTGCACCAGTGAAGCCATCTCCTAAAATCCATACCTTCTCAGAATGCCTCCTATTAAACGAGAAGTATACAGAGGGGAAGATACCTTTAGGCTTAAAATTCTGCAGCCACTCATATGCCTTTGGATAGAAATCCACCTTCCATAAAATCGTGGTGGTAGTAATCAGTTCAGGCGTCAGTGACAAAATATGTTAGATATGGTATGTTTGTTAGGAAAGCAGCACACTCCGGTTCAGAAGAATTGGCAGGTTTCATCTCCTACTTCCCAAAATGTAGCCATAGCATTCAGCTCTGAGTGTACTTCCATGTTCAGGATGGTGGAGTTTCTTCACCTGGGAATGTAGAATACATTCTTAGGGGTTGAACTTTACTGTAATGTTTTTTTCAATTTATATTTTCATTTCACTGATTATATATATAAAATTCTGGGTAATGTCTATAACCTCTTTATAAATAGATACTGTCCATAGAATGTCAGTGTCAGTTATGATTTGTGTTGGTGAATACATTGGTACCATTGCCTTCCAAAAGGACAGCATTTAATTTTAAACTTTGTGGTGTTAAATAGTACTGCTACTACAACTAATATTAGCTGGCTAACTGATGTGCATGTATATTCTTGAAGATGACAGAATTTTCCCACTTGAGGAAACTTGGTTAATGGCTAGAGCATGGACTTTTGCCAGAGCAAGACACTCCTGTATTCTAATTCCTGTTCTGGAAATGGCTCGTTGCTGGCTCGTTGCTCTTGCAAAGATCTCTTAGCCTTTGTGAACCTCACTTTCCACACTTATAGATGAAGTTTTATAAACGGGGCTACTAAGACCACAGAAATGCAGTAAAGATTCAGGTCATGTATTTGTGTTTATCTGGTGCACAACAGGTATTCAGGAAGTGACAGTTATTATTATTATTATATTTTGTCCTATGAATCAGTTTAAAGTCAGCACGCTCTGCACTAATTCTTTTCCTGTCAAGAGCAGATGTTTAAACTCATGGACATGCTTTTACAACAGAGCTGACTTCTGACTGGTATCATATAGCTACTGGCCACATATCTTGTTTATTATAGAGCATTATTTATCTTCAGTACAGGTCTCCATTATTATTATTTGAATACTTTGATAATTGTTGCTCCTATTAATATTTCTAGTTATTTCTGAAGGTGGTAAGACTTGAGAAACCCAGTGGGAAAATGAAAACCAAGGAAAGCAAGAATAGTTACATGCAGAGCAAAGAATGAGTGATGCCAACATTGGTTTTCTATATTTATCTCACTATTACTTTCTCTGTGGTCCTAAACTAGTTCTCTCATTCACACAGGCAGCCAGAAATTCTTCACCAGGCCTAATAAAATAAAGGAGAAAATTGCAGGGGAAATATATATCAAGGCAGTAATCTATTGGTTTGGATAGATCAAATGCCTGACTATATTGTTTATGGGAAATAAGTGTCATCCCTCCCCCTGAAACTTTGCTATTTTCTAAAATGGATCCACTTTGTGATGTGATTTTTATATCCCAAGTTAGGCCAGTTGGATTCCATCTATCATAATTGTGACGGATAGCAAGTGATTTGTTTCATTACATTGTTAATGGCTGTAGTGGGAACATTTGAGCTATTACCTGAAAAGCTGTGGTTGTGTCGTTGTGACGCTTCCAAGTATAGAATTTTCTCTTCACTCTTTGTTTCTGCAATAGGCTTTCTTGCCCCAACAGGGATGCACACTGAGTTTTAAATCCTTTTCCGCTTGGCTTGAGGGAGTTTGCTTTTTTATCTGTGTGTCATTGAAAAGTCCAGTATGCAGGCACTTTCCAGCCAGCCAGGACATGAAAATGGCAGAAGCAATATAAACGCTGGAATCACTGTAAAAGATTAGCATTCCTGATAGACAACGATGGAGAAAATACATTTTTAAAAGTAACATAAGCATCGAACAATGAATACAATTGTTAACAATTGTTATGAACCTCTTTACTTGGTCCAACATCAACTTTTATATGCGAGGGCTCTTTTATAAATCAGTGAAAAGCTGAGGGAAGCTGGCCTCAGAGAAGACAAGATGCATAGGATCATGAAAAGCATTTGTATGCTATATTCATGAAGGGGCTAGGCTGGCTTATGCCTTTCATGCTAAGCATAGTCTTAAACAATTTTGACCTTAACATAAAGATATTTTAATGTATCCATTTGACTCACAAACTCAAGCTTATATTGAATTCAAAAGAAAACTCCTTAAAGCTCAGTTTCTGAAACATATCAGGTAAAATTTTGTACATTTTTAAATTAATCCAGATGGCATCAAAGGTAATTCTTAATTAGCTGACTATCTACCCTTGAATCAAGGACAGTGGTGGTTATCAACAGGGTGAGAGCAAGAGAGGCCTTCGTACCTCTGGGTCACTTTAAAGGTGATTTTAATATTCTCAGTAACCTTCATCCCTAAGGGAAAACCCTGCTACAACTCAGTCATGGAAAACCATGGTCCTTTTGAATACAGGATAATTGTAATAATTTCCTCAGTAGTTTAATTTTTTTAACTAACTTACAAATATAACCAAAAGTTGTTAACAAACATATACCATAAATTCCAGGATAAGACTAGTTTACTTGAATCACCTTGAATTTAATAGTCTTTCTTCTCCTAACTCTTATAGTGCTTACTTATAGATTATTTCATCTGTGTTAACACCATTCTTAGGAAATTTGTTGTAAAAAAGTTGATCTTGTCTTGGTTTTAGAAATGAAGAGAAAGAAAGGGAAATTAGGAAATATCAGGACACAGATCTCATACTTTTAGCCTGTTTTCTGCCCGTAGACTGCCTGGGGTAAATATGCCCCAGTGGGCACCTCTCTTCCTTTGAGAGCATACATATTCATGTGTTTGAAGTCAGCCAAGGTTATTGACATGGACTACAATGTGTTGAAAAGAGAGAGGCAGCTAAACAGAATGATAAAGGCTACTGAAAGAAAAAAATTTAATACTTGAAATTTCAATTTAATAATTGAAATGTCTTAAGAGAGGGAGAAAGAAAGAGAAAGAGAATAGATGGACCATATAAGAAGCAAATAAAACACATATAAAATGAAAGATGCAATTGATTTTATATCTTCAAATGCTTAACTTACAGGATGGGAGAACACACAATTTAGCTTGTTTGAGTTTAGTCTTTCTAATATATTCTACAGAGTAATTTATTTTCAGAAGAAGCCTCACTGCAGTGCTCCTATTATGATAATGGGAATTTATGCACATAAGTATTTGTGATCACATCACAGAGCAGTTTTTGGAAGAACTATAGGGGAAGGGAAAATTAATATTCTTAAAATAGGGATGAAGTCTTAAAAAATCCTCTACAGTCTGAATCTATCACTCAATCTATCTATACACACACACACACACACACACACACACACTTTTCCATGGTGAATTGCTTCTCTAGTGAAAAAAAAAACTTGTGAGTAAAAAGCAACATAATTCATAGAGTGCTTGCTTGGATTTGTTGATGAGAAGGTCACTGCTCCTGAGATTGGAAAACATAGCTCCAACAACCCCAGGCCTTTCTGACCATATTCACTTTGCTTACTCAGGAGCAGACAATGACAGGCAGGGACTTAGGGGGAGGGGATGAATCAAAGTCCCTCTTACTCCATGTCTCTCTGCTAGAATCGCTGTCAGCCTGGTGAGCTGACATGAAGTAGGGGATCAAACCAGTATACACAGGATGAAAATGTAAACAGGGCTAAGCTCTCTGTGTGCACATTCTTTTTCTCTTGCTCTTTTTTTCCATCTCATTCTCTCTATCTTTTTACACAAAAACTAGACATTTCAGGTGGTAGGTATTTTTCCTGTCAGGAATAAAGAATGCTCAGCACTTGAAGTCACTTACCAGTAGGATCATCTTTAGAACACAGCAACATAGCTCTTAGTAAATTGTGTATGGCGATTACAAGATTGTGTTATGGAGTGTGCCAATGTCGGTACACATAGTAGATCACTCCAAATGTGAATACCTGTGGGGAAAATTATGGCAAAGTCACAGCTTGGGTACATTATTGAAAATAAAGCTTATTGAAGTAGCTGAACTAATAGGTCCGTGCACCAAAGTTTATGGGCACAAGTCAGCTGTCACTGGGTAGGCTGAGGGAGACATAATATTCCAGTCGTTTCTCTCGTGGAAGGAACATTAGCTTATTCTCTCCCTTCATTGATATTCTGCAACTGAATCAAGCACTGCTGATTGCTGACCGGCTCACACGTTCCCCATATGTCTCCAGATTGCTAAACTCAGAAATGTGAGACTGCATCGCTGAGTTAGTTTGAGGACAGCCAACCTCAGGAGCGGCTGCTGGACCATTTGTTCCTATAAAGAACAGATGAAAATCAGGAGTATGGAAAAATGTGCATTTTCACAATGTTCCATTAAACTTCTTGTCTCATACTTAGGGCACAACTCAGGGATTCAAACCAGTTTGACTGGATTATTAAACAGTTTAAGTTTGCCAGACCAAGAATTAAGTTTGCCAGACTGTACAAGAATTTTATTTTCTTCTATTTTTCCCTTTGGTACAAATTTTTGTATTTATTTATTTGCTAACAGTGAAACAAAATTATGGATATAATTAGCAAAGGCTAACCTTAGGTTAGAAAAACTTAACATATTTTAAGTATCAATTGATTTTTAAAAATTGAGTTGTTTAAATGTGAAAAGCAGAATGCAAAATTTCCTGCCATAATCATCTCAGAGTCAAGAGCTAAAATTGTAACTTCTTCAACCACAAACAAAGATATGTTTATACTTTTTATTTTATTTTATTTTAGGAAAAATTATTAAATATAACACCCAAATACTCCAAAATGCAAGTTACTACCTTAAGGCAATATCAGTGTATATTTTCATGTGCAAGGTACTGAGCTCTCTTAGCATTTTAATCATCCCAACAACCATATAGGGAAGTTTTTATTTATAAGTTATAGATGAAAAGGCAGAGGTTTACAAAGAGGTCAGTATCTTGTTCACTGTCCCACAGTCCTAGGAAGAGCTAGGATTTGAACTCTGGCAAATTATCTTACACCAGAACTCAACTCTTAACATTCTGTTATATCAATCTTTCAGTAACATTAAATAAATTCTAATGATTAAATCTGGTGATACGTTTCATGCATTTTCATCATCAAAATGTTTATTAAAGGAAAATGTGTACTATATTTTAAACTTTTAAATCCTTTAAAATTTTATCTGAGGTTGCTGTTATAACAGTTTGAAAAGTAACATGCATAAAATATATTCAGTCAATTAAAAAAATACATACTCTTTTATTGTCCTACTTTTTATCATTTAAAACAGCCAGAATATTCGAGATTAGTCACAGTAATTAGGACTTTCATTTGTTTTTACTTGGTTAGTAAGTGTAAATTATGCTGAGGACTTGCAAGTAGCTAAAACATGATGGTGGATCATGGTGTTACTAGCTATGGGATCTAGATTTTTATTGGAACTACTTTAAAAGTAAATAATGTGGCTTTCCCACAGGGGTTATTACACCTCTTTGACTTGATCTGTTTGTGTTATTGTTCTCAGAGAAAGAATTTTCTAGTTTTCCTCATCTGGAGAAAACCATAATATTGTTGGTATTTTCAGTAGTGAAGAAAATCCCCATTTTCCTCATGGAAAGCATTTGGTGAAAACTGCAAATAATTTCACAGCTACATCTGATGCATTAATATAATTTTAAAGGGAAAATCAAACAACAGGACAAAAGAGATTTTATATAATTGAATAATCTCCATACATAAGTATGTATAATGGTAACTTTTGTTTCTCATTAAAATTAGTAAGAAAGAGCTCCTAGATTGAGAGTGTCTCCACAAAATAGAATAAATTATTCTAAAATATTTTTAAAGGAATTATGATGAAAATTTTCAGGAGATACAAATGCCTTCTTTTAATTTATTGTCTTGTGTGGTTCTTCAATCATTCCTCCCCTCCATGATGAGTTGGGGGCCATGATGCTTGCTCACTTATTTCATAGAGTGGCATTGGACACAGAGCTATCATTGTTGTATGTTTGTTCTGTGTCTCAAAGAAATAAATCAGAGAAATGAGTAATGTTGTATTACCACTAGAGCCTACTGAGAAGCAAATAATATTTTCAGGCCTAGAATGAAATCTTATTGAGTGTTAGTGAATGGAAGGAAAAGCAAATGTAGAAAAAAAAAAAAGATTTCCAGAATTTTCTTATCAGGCAGATAGCTGACTCTTATCGAGTCAAAGAAAATGATCCAAAAGTTCTGCTTTAAATAAAACATTCTCTTTCTGCTCATCAATTAAACAATTACTATACAATTCTGTCCTTTCTAGCAATGCTAAAGTTAGGGATAAGAATTCTTGATTTACTATTTTCTTCCAAATAAAGGCAGCCTCCAACTTACAAATGGGTTGTGTTACAAAAATTCATTTGTTAGATGGTCATGTGGGACCCAGAATGCCCTTTCCCAAAGAATCAATGTCATAAATCATTGTTGGTTTTAAGGCTGGTCCACATAAGCTTATTCAAAGAATAATGTTTCCCAGCTATACTATTGTGGACTGCTGGGCACTTGCAATGGAAATCTCTGAAGTCTGAGATCTGGGATGAGGGAGGAACTCATTTTGAACAGGAAGAAGGAAAAGTAGGAGACTTTCTTCCTCTTTTCCTGAACACAAAGTAATTCAAAGAAAGATATGGTGACATAGGTACCAAATTAAAAAGTGGGCAATGTGGCCAAGCAAATTTTTTAAGACAAATATAAAGGTAAAGAATAAAATATTTTTCCCCAGAATATTCCACTGATATATGGGGATAACTTTTGGAATCAGTATCACACAAGAAAATTCAGTAGATTTTGATGTTCTACACTCACAATGTTTTGAGGAAAGAAATTTGGTGGTTTTTTCTGTGTTTGTTTTGTGTGGAAAGCCTAGCAAAATCAGGCAGTCCAGGAGGCTGTTTGTTATAGTTGACCAGAAGAGAGAAAAATGGGACCTGGAATAAAGTCAAATCAGAGGGGACAGAGAGAAGAGACTAATTTAAGATAGATTTTGAGAAGTAGAAATATCAAAACTTGGCCCTTTGGCATGAGAAAGAAGGTGACGGGGACATTGGCATGGAGCAAGATCAGTGATGGAGGAAAAGGAACCAATTAGCAGAGAAGAAAACAAACCTGCTATGGTCAGTTCTTTCAGGCCATTCCTGCTTTACACAGCTCACTTCTTTTTTGCACTTTGGGCTTCATAGATTCTCTAGAAAGCACTAAGATTTTAACAGTGTAATCCAGGAGAGTGGCACAAAGTTTAATCAAGAGAAGAGCCATAAATTTACCAGGGACTATGCTAGATTTTTTTTCCTTGCTTTTAATTTGATTTTCACATCCATCTTATGAGAGAATTGTTGTCCCTTTATTATAACTGTGATAACAGAGAATCAGAAAGGTAAAGTAACTTGTTCCACATGTGGGTCTTTCTGACACTAGAACTAGAATTCTTTGCATCACTTTATCTTGTTGCCTTAAATGTCCATGAGTCATGTTTCTATTCAATTTAATTCAATTCAATCACTTCATTTATACATTCAAAAACTGCCTGAGGAGTACATAGGATATGCTGGATACTGTCCTGGAACCTAGGAATAATGAGAACAAAGGCGAGGGCCATGCCCTCGAGAAGCTCTCCCTTGTGAAGCAGGCTTTCAGAAATTTGAAAGCCAGGCTTCTCCTGAGAAATAACCACATGAAGAGGAGTAGACAAGCTTGATGTGACTAAGAGTGAGCAGCATTTCCAGGAGAAGTACCCATGGACTCTTGCTGAGCCACTAAAGGGTCAGAAAACTTTGAAACTATCAACAAATCTGCTATAAAGCCCTGGGATGGAGGCAATGCTACTTTGGTAGTGGTGTATAGAGTGATGAGAAGCATGTAGACATGGAAAGAAAAGAGATTTAGGTTTCAATTTCAGCTTAGCTAATTATTAGCAGTGTGAGTTTGGATCAATCATTTAATTTATGCATGCAGTAGGTATAACACAGTGAGAATTAGAGGTGGCCTATGCAAATAAAAAGTCAATATGGTGCCTAGCTTAAGCTAGATACTCAGTATATTTTAGCTATTATTATAGTTAGTATTTTTATTTATTTTAAAATTTTTATGGGCACATAATAATTGTACATATTTATGGGGTACATATGTTTTGATACATGCATATAATGGGTAATGATAAAATCAGGTTATTTGGGATATATATCAACTTAAACATTTACATTTTTGTGTGCATGTTGGGAACATTTCAAATTTACTCCTCTAGTTATTTTGAAATATACAATATTTGATTGTTAACTATAGTCATCCTATAGTGCCGCTGAATACTAGATCTTATTTCTATTATCTAATTGTATTTTTGTATCTATTATCTGACCCCTTTATCTTCCCCCACTCCTCATTACCCTTCAGGGCCTCTGGTAGCCATTATTCTATTCTCTACCTCCATGTGATCAATGATTTTAGCTCCTGCATATGAGTGAAAACATTTAATATGTCTTTCTATGTATGCCTTATTTCACTTAACATAATGTCTGTCAGTTCCATCCATGTTGTGCAAAAGTCAGGATTTCATTCTTTTCTATAGTTGATAATATTTCATGGTTTATATGTATCATGTTTTCTATATCTACTCATCTCTTATTGGACACTGCGTTGATACCATATCTTGATATTGTGAATAGTGCTGCAATAAACATATTGATTTCCTTTTTTCTGGATAGATACTCAGCAGTGGGATTCTGGATCATATGGTAGTTCTCTTTTGAGTTTTTGAGGAACCTCCACACTATTTTCCATAGTAGATATACTAGTTTACATTTTCACCATAATCATACAAGCATTCTCCTTTCTTCATATCCATTATTTTTTATCTTTTTTTATTGTTTTGTTTTTTGAGACAGAGTCTCAGTTTTGTTGCCCAGGCTAGAGTGAGTGCCGT